TCTCCCCCACACCATAGGCACATTCATGCACACATTATTATTATTATACAGTATTTATAAAGCGCCAATGGTTCACTCAGTGCTGTACATTACAAAGGGGGACAGAACATGTGACAGAACAATACCAATACAATGCAAAACATGAGGGGATCGAGGGCCCTGCTATTTCGAGCTTACAATCTAGGAGGGATGTGAATTTAAAAAAATCTTTTCCTTGGATTATATACACATATAATCAGTAAATTTTGTCAGCATAATTTGGGTTGCAGATGATTTGGTGCACTGAACTCTTGCCCTGATGTTTTCATGATAATTTGAATTTAATTATTATTGTGCTACTACAGCATCTTTTTGCCATGATAAAAAGGTGTTGCAGTAGAAGTGGACCTTTATCCCTCAAACAGAAAAATCGATGGTGCATTCATCACTGCCCATCAATAAATGTATTATTTTTTAGCGTAAATGTATTTTGTAAAGCTTACTTTTTCCCTCCTCCTTCTGGGTTTCACCGAGTGGTGGCAATACCCATATGGAAGAAAAATATATTTGAAATATATGTCAATATATTTGGGAAGAATATTTTTAAAATATATTTGAAATGCAATTTTGGCCATATTCAATATATTTCAATAAAAAATTATATATATATATATATATATATATATATATATATATATATATATATATACACACATATACATATATACACACATATACATATATACACAGTTGCAAGAAAACGTATGTGAACTCCTTGGGATTACGTGGAGTTTTGCATGAATTGGGCATAAAATGTGCTCTGAACGTCATCTAAGTCACAACAATAGAAGAACACAGTCTGCTGAACATAATACTACACAAACATTAGATGTTGCCATGGTTTAATTGCACATAACATGTAAACATTCACAGTGCAGGGAGGAAAAAGTATGTGAGGCCCTAGCTTAATGACTTCTCCCAGAGCTAAATGGAGCCAGGAGTGAGCCAACCTTGACTCCAATCAGTGTGATGATATTGGATGTGTTGCTGACAGCTGTCCTGCCCTTAAAAAACTCACACCTGTTTTGGGTTTACTGGTTTCAAGAAGCACTGTCTGATGTGAACCATGCCTCGCAGAAAAGAGCTCTCAGAAGACCTACGATCAAGAATTGTTGACTTGCATGAAGCTGGAAAGGGTTACAAAAGTATCTCCAAAAGCCTTGATGCTCATGTGTCCACGGTAAAGACAGACTGTCTACAAATGGAGAAAGTTTAGCACTGTTGCTACTCTCCCTAGGCGTGGTCGTCCTGTAAAAATGACTGCAAGAGCACAGCGCAGAATGCTGCATGAGGTAAAGAAGAATCCCAGAGTGTCAGCTAAAGACCTACAGAAATCTCTGGCACATGCTAACATTTGTGTTGACACATCTACAATAAGGAAAACATTAAACAAGAATGGAGTAGATGGGGAGGACACCACGGAGGAAGCCATTGCTGTCCAAAAAGAATATTGCAGCACGTTTGAAGTTTGCAAAAGAGCACCTGGATGTTCCACAGCACTACTGGCAAAATATACTGTGGACAGATGAAACCAAGATTGAGTTGTTTGGGAAGAACACACAACACTATGTGTGGAGAAAAAAGGCACAGCACATCAACATCAAAACCTCATCCCCACTGTAAAACATGGCGGAGGGAGCATCATGGTTTGGGGCTGCTTTGCTGCCTCAGGGCCTGGACGGATTGTTGTCATTGATGGGAAAATGAATTCCAGAGTTTATCAAGACATTTTGCAGGAAAACGTACGACCATCTGTCCGCCAACTGAAGCTCCGCAGAGGATGGGTGATGCAACAGGACAATGATGACCCAAAGCATACAAGTAATTCAACAAAACAATGGCTGCAACAGCACAGAATACGCCTTCTGGAGTGGCCCAGTCAGTCCTGACCTCAACCCGATTGAAATGCTGTGGCATGACCTTAAGAGAGCGATTCACACCAGACATCCCAAGAATATTGCTACACTGAAACAGGTTTGTGAAGAGGAGTGGTCCAAAATGAATCCAGATCGTTGTGCAGGTCTGATCTGCAACTACAGGAAATGTTTGGTTGAGGTTATTGCTGCCAAAGGAGGGTCAACCAGTTATTAAGTCCAAAGGTTCACATACTTTTTCCTCCCTGCACTGTGAATGTTTACATGTTATGTGCAATTAAACCATGGCAACATCTAATGTTTGTGTAGTATTATGTTCAGCAGACTGTGTTCTTCTATTGTTGTGACTTAGATGCCGTTCAGAGCACATTTTATGCCCAATTCATGCAAAACTCACATAATTTTTCTTGCAACTGTATATATATTATATATATATATATATATATATATATATATATACACACACACACACACTGCATGTTGAAATGCGTTATTACAGAATATATGAAAAATATTTTAAAAAATACATTTCAAATATACTGTATGTCTTTAAAAATACAAATCTACATTTCTGTTCTGGAATGCATTTACAAATATATGTAAAATATATGTTAAAATTACTTTTTGTTAAAAAACAAAATAGAAGAACATATTTAAAAAATATATATTTTTTTTAAATATATTCTTCTGATTTTTTTAACATATAAAAAAGTCACTTTAACATATATTTTTTACATATATTTGTAAATGCATTCCAAAAATGTATATGTCAATATGTTTGGGAAGAATATTTTTAAAATATATTTCAAACATATTTTTCTTCCATTTGGGTAGTGATGTGGCCCTGGTAACACAGGTGCACCCTGGAAAGGCCACTGCATCACTGCCTTTAAAGTGGTTGTAAACCCTTGCATATAAGCTCCAAGGATCAGGTCCTCCTACCCCTCTTGTATTGAACTGTATTGTTGCTGTATTGTCTCCCATTATATTGTAAAGCGCTGAGCAAAACTCTTGGCGCTATATAACTCCTGTATAATAATAATATACCAAAGTGATGTTGTTGTACCTGTCAAACTGTCTTCTCTTCTCAACATCTATTCAAAGTGTTGAATTTATAAAGCTTGTCTGAGAGTTCAGAAGAAAAGGGGTGGAAACACACTGCAGAGCTTAGTGAACAGAGCTCTGAGAGCTGATTGGAGGAAAGAGACACACCTCACAGGAACAGAGCTGAGGCTGTCAATCTGCTGGAGATCCCTCCCCTGTCACCTTTTTTCTAAGGGAAACTTGTCAAAATTGATTTATGCTGATTGCAGAAGAAAGAAGCAGCATACAGAAATGACACTTAATGCTCTTAATTGAGACACTATAGAATATGCTTTGTTCCTATTTCATGTCTGAGGTTTACAACCACTTTAAGACACCTTTCCTGATCTTGCATGTGCCTTATGACATCAGGGCGGCTTATTGTTGACAAAAGTAAGGCGGTCCCCTTTTCTACCATTAGACTACACAGTGTCTGTTTTTTTTCTTCTTTTTGATATAACAAAACCATCCTTGGGCAGATAGTATGAGGTCATTGATGGTTATTCAAGGTTTTTCATTCACTGCTGTATGGACTCCCTGTCAGCTCTATGTGTGATTTTGTTCCTTTTGCAGTCCAACTGTGCCATCTCTTATTCACCAGCAGTTAGTGATATTCCTATATGCACTGAATGTCTGTATCCATGAATGTACCTTCTTTTCTAACTTGTGTTGTTTGATTACTTTGGATATTGCCTTTACTTAAATAAAAAAAAATTGTTAAAAAAAGTAAATAAATAAATAGAAACAAATCACTTTCAATAGCCATTTTTGGCTGACTGTAATCAGCCAGCAACAGATTGAAATAGCAAGATCTGTCACTTTGTGAGGTGGCAGGACAGTACTGTATCTGCTCTCCCCTAACTTTCAGATGGACATGAAGTACTGGGAATGTGTTACAGTTAATGGCTATGGAGCACTTTTTCTGAGTGCTGTATAGCAGGATCAGAAGCACAGGAACTGGCTGATTAAAGCGGCGCTCCACCCAAAAGGGGAAGTTCCGCTTTAAGGACTGCTCCCCTACTCCCCATTAAGGATTGGCACCTGCGGGGGGGGGGGGGGGGGTTATGCGGGTACCCAAATTTGACAGGTACCCGCTCCCACTTCCAGTTCAATCGCCTAGGCGTTCGGAAGCGGAAAGTGTCCTCCCTCCCTGTAGTCTTTTGGGACATGTGACAGGTCCCAGAAAACTACAGGATCATTCATGAAGTGCAGCGCTTCTCACGCATGCGCAGTGGGAAAGTGTCTCCCTTCCTGTAGTCTTTTGGGACATGTGACAGGTCCCAGAAGACTACAGGACCATTCATGAAGCGCAGCGCTTCTCACACATGCGCAATGGGTACCAGGCTGTGAAGCCGCACACTGAAGATGCCGGTCTCCTGGAATACAGGATGGCCAGTGAAACGGGCTGCGGGGGACACACCGCGGGACTGAGGGACAGGTAAGTGGCTGTTTTTTTAAAAAAAATCAGCAGCTACAGTTTTTGTAGCTCCTGACTTTTATTTTTTGACAGCGAGAGTGGAACTCCGCTTTAAGCTCCTGGGTTTAGTGCTGGAGCAAGACTGTCACTGACGGCAGTTCCAGCACTAAACCCTACCAAAACCAATGAGAGTCTGGGTGCAGTTGTAAAATGGATCTTGGGAATTTAGCTCTGCAAAAACAGCCTTTGGTATACCTAATAAAACCATTATTATTATTATTATACAGGATTTATATAGCGCCAACAGTTTGCTCAGCACTTTACAAAATAAAGGGAGATAATACAGCAACAATACAGTTCAATACAAGAGGGTTAGGCGGGCCCTGATCCTGGGAGCTTACAATCTAAGAGATGAATACATAGTCTATGTGTCTTAACATGTTAAGAATCTGTTAATTTATAGAGCGCATAAGGGATGGAACCCAGATACATTTATTACCGAGCAGTTTTTCAGATGCTAGCCAACAAATCGGATATACCTGCTCAAACATGAAGGCAAATTCAACACCCTCTTTAGGAACGCTCTGCACATCAAGGAAACAGTAGAGTTTGAAGTACAGATTCCACTGGACAGTCTCGTCCTCCTCCTCTCCGGTGCTGGCCAGTCTATTGGGGGAGACAGAATGATTAGATGACGTCAGAAAATTGTCAATATGAGGAAAGCATGAAACAATAAGTCAGACACAGTGGGGTTTATTTACTAAAGCTGGAGAGTCCAAAATCAGACTCCCTTCTGCATAGAAACCAATCAGCTTCCAGGTTTCATTGCCAAAGCTTCATTGAACAAGCTGAGGTTAGAAGCTGATTGGTTTCTATGCAGAAGGGAGTCTGATTTTGGACTCTCCAGCTTTAGTAAATAAACCCCATAGTGACAAAGCGTCAACTTAGCACGCCAACCTTTCAAATTTCGCAAGGACGTCGGCTACAATCACACGGCTCTCCACCGCTCGGTCTATAACTTTGTTGTGTTCAAAAAGGGCAAACATGTTTCTGCTGTTATCCATGGAAAGGCCGCGGATTAACTTCTCCACCACCTGCAATAAATGAAACCAAATAATCACTCAGGTCAACAATGGAAGTGGAGACAATTGGAACCAAAAGGTGAAAAAAAATGAGAGCAGGAGAGTGGCAAGAAAGAAAAGGAAAAAGAAAAGGAGAAAAAGAGAGAAAAAAAGTAATTTACAGAATTGGGGACAACTTTTTTTGGTATTTGTAGCACTCACTCCCTGTAGGAGCCCACAGTTTAAGGTCCCTAATATCTTTTCCCATAGTTGCACCCACAGCCAGGCACACAGTCACCGTCACTCAGTTGGCTCACTGATCAGTCTAGAGTTATACTTTTCTGATGCTTTAGCGTAGAACGTGAACTCGGATGGGTGCAGGGTAACTGTGCGATACTTCAGTAACTTTTAGCAGCAACTTGAGGATGCTAAACTTCCTCCTAAGAATCCGAGCAGAGTCCTTGCACAAGCAAATATTGGACTGACCTATACCAGGACACCATACACACGGTCCCCTATGAGCAAAACGGACTCTAGCATAGGAGGGATGACAGCAATACACAGTCTCAAGGATCTCTCACACCAGCCTATACGAATGTCCCTGCATAATTGGACACCTGCTTCCAACATCTTCCAGACATCTCTCTAGTAATACCAGGCCAGATCTCCAGACGAAACGTACCTCAGTCAGCTCCAGAAATGTGTAGCAGAATAGGCCCCCCTGGCTAGGGGAGAGGGGAGGCCAAAGTGAAGGGGAGAGGAGAGGAGAAAGAGGAGGTAAGAGAAGGGGAGAGGAGAGGAGAAAGAGAAGGGGAGAGGAGAGGAGAAAGAGAAGGGGAGAGGAGAGGAGAAAGAGAAGGGGAGAGGAGAGGAGAAAGAGAAGGGGAGAGGAGAGGAGAAAGAGAAGGGGAGAGGAGAGGAGAAAGAGAAGGGGAGAGGAGAGGAGAAAGAGAAGGGGAAAAGAGAGGAGAAAGAGAAGGGGAAAAAAAGAGAGGAGAAAGAGAAGGGGAAAAGAGAGGAGAAAGAGAAGGGGAGAAGAGAGGAGAAAGAGAAGGGGAGAAGAGAGGAGAAAGAGAAGGGGAGAAGAGAGGAGAAAGAGAAGGGGAGAAGAGAGGATAAAGAGAAGCAGAGAGAGAGAGGAGAAAGAGAAGCAGAGAGGAGAGGAGAAAGAGAAGCAGAGAGGAGAGGAGAAAGAGAAGCTGAGAGGAGAGGGAAGGAAAAAAAGAGAAGTAGAGGAGAAAGAAGAAGAGAGAGAGAGGGGGGGTGAAAATGTTAAAGAGTGGTGGAGTGTGAAAAAGGAGAGAAAAAAGGAGAGCAAAAAAAAAAAAAAGGAAAAAAAAAAACATATGAGAAGAGAAAGTGATGAGAGTGTTAGGGAGTTGCAACAAAAGGAGAAGATAGAAAAAAGTGATACAGAGGGGATGGAGGGGAGAGGAGAGATAGGTGAAAGAAAGAAAGGAGTGAGAATGAAAGTGTTGCAGAGTTTAGAGAGTGAATAGAAAAGGGGTGATAGAGGGAAGGACAAACGAGAGAGAGAAAAAAGCAAAGAGCATGAAAGAGAGCGAGAAAGTGAAATTGATGAGCGTGTTAAATAGTCAAAAAGAACAAAGAAAACACAAGGTCAGAAAGTGAAGAGCAGAGCAGAAAGAGGAGAGGAGAAAGGAGAGACAGGGAATGAGAGAGAAGAGAGTCAGAAAGAAAGAGAAAAAAAGTGAGGGTGTTAAAATAGTGGCAGAGAGTGGAGAGAAGAAAGCAGGGCCGACTTTTGGCCTGTGTATTTTGCTTGCAATCCATCTATGACCAGCTTCTGTTGAACGGTCAAGCTAGAAAACCAACATTTGATCAGCGCTTGCAAACCAATGGCTGCAGCACTGTGTATTTGGATCTGTGTATTCAGCCTGCTGGTTGAACTAAAAAAAACTGCATGTGTATACCCAGCTTAGGAGAGAATGGAGTGAAGGAAACAAAGAAGAGTCGGTTCAGACCTAACTGCATACTGAATCGCACAGGAACGCGCTCTGCAGTGCAATTTTCAGCCCAGTCATTTTTGGTGGATTGCACCAAAAGTAGTCAATACTACAGTACCATGTGATCCAGGATAGGCAAGCGCACTGCACTTGTAATCTGCGTTTGGGGTGTTGTTAGAAACTCCCACAGCAGACTGCACACCCAGCGTGTTTTGAACGTGGTGCAGGAAATATGCACAGAATGTGGGTTTTCTGCATCCCATTCTGGCCCTTAGGTAATGGCAGACACAGAGAGAGGTAGGTAAGGGAGAGTTATTGATGTAATCTCATAAAGCAGGGGTGTAAAAATGGCGTCCCTCCAGCTGTTGCAAAACTACAAGTCCCATCATGCCTCTGCCTTTGCGAGTCATGCTTGTAACGGTCAATCTTGCAATCCCTCATGGGACTTGTAGTTTGGCAACAGCTGGAGGGCTGCCAGTTTGACACCTGTGTCATGGAGGGTTCCATCTCAAACAGCCTGAAAGATGGACAAAGATACAGTGAGGTATAATGGGACCCTAAAGGAGAGTATGTGAGATACAAGTAAATAAGAGCAATAGCACAATCCCAAGTGGCAGTTATTGGTTATAGATTCCCTCCATTAAAGTTGATGAATTGAGCTCCTGTGTTGTCACCCTGTCACGTGCTCTCCCATTACAGACTACTAGTAGCCACTTCTACACACATTACACAGACATGGCTCACTGTTTTGTCACCATCAGGAATCCTGTCCTGAGAAATGCCATTGCAGCCATTACTGGAGGGCATGCAGGCAGGAAGTGGCAGGAGATCCACGGCACTGAGATGTAACTAAGGATGAAAATAAGTGTAACGTCCTCCAGGTTAGCCAGATAGGCTGGTTGTTTTCTTTTTTCTTTTTTTTTTTAGGCAGAGGCTGAGCCTGGGATGAGTCAGCTTGGGGAGTAGGGTAGTAAAGTTAGCTCAGGACACACTGAGAAGCTCTAACAGATCAGGGCTTCTGGAGACCTTCTACCTTTCTAGAGAGTGGAAAACTTTCTGGAACAGGAGGAGGCCCAGATCTGCATGTTTGAGGGACCTTGGCAATCCCCTGGCAGGAGGCTAGCCATGGTGACCAAGGCAACCCTCAAATATCACAGAGCCTAGAGGGCAGAGGGCAGTGTTGGGCGGAAGATGGAGTGTTGAGCCTGGGAGAGGGCCAACCTACAGGCAGCTTCCTGGAGAAGAGGATCTCCACCATGCCAACATCTCCTGGGAAGAACATCCTGAGCATCAGGGAAGGAGCCAGCCCAGCGAAATACCTGAAGGCAGCCATCAACCCACTAAGCTGACAGGAAAGGACAGTGTTTGTACTCTTACACCCCCTGGGCCGGATAAGGGGTGTCAGGTGAATGACCCAACTAGCTTCTCATCTGGGACTGCTTGTGCTAAATTGGCAGCTTCTGGGCCCCCTTGCCCAGAGGATACCCTCAGTGCAGCTGGATGAAGAGGAGGATCCATCCGGGGTAGGAGGAGGTACACTAGGAAGAGTCTTTGGGGCTCTTCAAGGAAGAAGACTGTTGCTATTCACATTTTTGTACATAGTTGATAAGGAGTTGTCCTCAAGTTCTACAGTACCTCGGGCGTCCCATATTCCCCTAGACCCCATCCAACTTCTTAACCTCTTAATAAAATCACAAAACCAAGCTCAAGGACTGTTCTTTGACTCTAGTATGTAAAGAGTGAAAAATGTGTGTTGCCTGGCTGTGCAGAGCTTAAGGGGGGACCCAAAAGTCAGCGACTCCTAAGGGGGTAGTGCTGCACATGTACTTTAAATTGCTAAGCATTTGCCATTTAGAAAAAATATAAACGTCATTCAGTCGGGGTTTTTTTATCTGCTTTAACCCATGATGTATCAGCCTGGCTCCGAGGATACCACTCACCTCCCCGGCAGTGGTGTGGGAATTGATACTGATCTGGCAGGACCCTCCTCCATGGCAGTAAACGGTGGTGTTCATGTTGCTGCGTGTCAGCAGAGCGGAGATCTCCTCCTGGGACGGCACCATCTCCCTGCATTTGGTTTTCTTCAGAGCATCAACGATGAAATGTGCAAACTGCTCGACCTCCATGCCAGGGAAGCTGTCCCTCACCCTGCAGGGGACAAATCATCAGCGTCACAACATGCATGATTCCAGGCTTCACCAGATGGGGACGGGATAAAGCTGGAACATCATTTTTCATTTTTATACCAATTCAAAAGCTTTCCCTCCAGTCTTGTACAGTTGGACCGGCTCCTCTTCTGGACTGAAATGGCTTACTCTGATTTCACTGCACACTGTGAGCTTCTCACAATGTGCATTAGAATCTGCAGCAAGTCAGAGAGGGCTCACCTCATTGCCTGGCTGGAGGATATCCAGCTAGAATCTAGCTCTTTCCTCCACAGCCGCATTGTCCTTGGCCCACCCCTTTCATTCATTGTAATTCAATGCTGAAGGCACTGCCTAGGGTGGCCTGCACTCAGATATAACCTGCATAGGAACAGCCATTCCTCCAAACTGATATTCACCCATCAAGGCATTTTGATTTTTGCAGATCTTGTCCAAAGATCATAGTGAAAAGTATACCTTCTGGTGCCGCTCCAAGCTATGGATGGAAGGAAAAGGTTCACCCCACCGGCAAATGAGAAGAGGGAAACATGAGTCCAAGCGATTCCAGTGTCAGCCAACACAAGTGAAGGGATGGCCGCTGCTCAGCTGACCCCAGGAGTCCAATGTTGAGTCCGGGTTCACACTGATGCGGTGCGGAACTCGCACTGGTTTCTGGGCGAATTCCACACCGCATCAGAATCGCACCCCGTTCATGCGAACCTCTGCGGGTGTGTATATTAAGTTAACACCCCGAAATCGGTTCGCAAAACGTAGTGCGATGTGCAGAATCGGATCACATGGATGTGAATACTTATGCGATCCAATTCTAGTCTAGTGGGGACAGAAAAAAAGGGTCCTGCACCTTTTTTGGTGTGGATGCAGTGTGATTTGAACCATACAAAATTGCACAGGAATGCGGTGTGGTTCCTGTACGAATCACATGCGATGTTCTGCACCGCAGAAGTGTGAACCCAGGCTGAGGAATGGCCTCAGCCGCTGTTCTGGCCACGCCCCGCTGACGCATTTCGCCCTGCCCACTTTGGCTCTGTAAACAGAGAAACGCATCAGAGGGCGTGGCCAGTACAGCAGCTGATGCCATTCCTCAACATTGGACTCCTGGGATCGGTTGAGCAGCGTCCATCCCTTTACTTGTCCAAGGATCAAACACACCGCTTTTACCATGGCTGGGTGCTCTTCAGAGAAGCACCGAGGCAGGGTGCTATGATGTTTTCAGGAAGCACTCAGCCAGCCCCTCCCACTAGCCATGATCCGCCTACATTGCATAGAGAAGCAAAAAGATCCAGTGACAATATCACGGGGTCCAAAATACGGTATGTAATAGAAACGCAAAGGCTTTTTTTTAATATGTCATTAACATGTTGAACGGGTAGAAACGGGTAGAAAGGAGGATCCAGGAGTATAAGCAGAATGAACTTCAGCTTTATAGGCGCATAAAAAATATTTAGACTACCCCCTTGCCCTCCCCAATCCTCCTCTAAAAATGCTAAATTAAAAAAGACCCTGTTGCTAGACCAGTCAACCAACAAAAATCTTTGAATAAACTCTTTGAATAATTATATGTGCAAAAGGATAAGCAGACCTTGTATTTTGATGACCACAAGAGTCCCCTCTGTGTCTATGAATACCCAATCTGCTAGGTTCCGATGACCACAAGAGTCCCCCCTGTGTTATGATCCGCCAGGTGGTGCCTCAGGCTGCCAACTGACAGACCTACTCAGAGCGTGGGGTCTAAGCCCGGGATGTGCTTTCACCAGGGCCCCTGATGGTGGGGATGGACTTGAAACAGTCCCGGGCCAGGTCACGACCTCCGAGCAGGCCCACCAGTGGCTGAGGAGACCTCCGGGGACAGGTACCGGGAGAGCCAGATGTGAGAGGATGGCGGCCCCAGCAGGATAGTAACGGATCGTGGGCCCGTGAGGGTAAGCGGGGTACAGAATCGGTGTGCAAAGAGTAGTCGGGTCACACGCAGGATCAGCAGGGTAAGTCAGTCCGTAGAATGGTCAGGGCAATCCGGGTCAAACACAGGAGCAGGCAGAATAGTCAGGACAATCCGGGTCAATCACAGGAGCAGGCAGCATAGTCAGGGCAATCCGGGTCAATCACAGGGGCAGGCAGCGTAGTCAGGGTCAATCAGGGTCACTAGACAGGTGCAGGAACTCAGAATCACAGAAAGACCTTGCGGCAATCTGTGACAGTGCAGGGCATCTTTAAATAGTGCGCCCTGCACTGTCATTGGCCGGCTAGGACGCGCCCCCGGCTGTCATTGGACGCCTGAGGCGCGCCCCGCGGCTCCTACTGCGCATGCGCGGCGTCCTGTCAGCCGCGGCTCGCTGGGACCTAGTGCCTGTGTCCCGGCGCGATCTGCCGCCAATGCGCATGCGCGGGGGACGGCGCCGCGATCCTGGACTACGGAGCCGCGATCCCTGACACCCTGTGTCCTTGAATACCCAGTATGCTAGGTTTTGATGACCACAAGAGTCCCCCCTGTGTCTTTGAATACCCAATCTGCTAGGTTCCAATGACCACAAGAGTCCCCCCTGTGTCTTTGAATACCCAATGTGCTAGGTTTAGATGACCACAAAACTCCCCCCCCCCCCGTGTCTTTGAATACCCAGTCTGCTAGGTTTAGATGATCACAAGAGTCCCCCCTGTCTTTGAATACACAGTCTGCTAGGTTCTGATGACCACAAGAGTCCCCCCTGTCTTTGAATACCGAATGTGCTAGGTTTTGATGACCACAAGAGTCCCCCCTGTGTCTTTTAATACCCAATCTGCTAGGTTTAGATGACCACAAAACTCCCCCCCCCCCCTGTGAATACCCAGTCTGCTAGGTTTAGATGATCACAAGAGTCCCCCCTGTCTTTGAATACACAGTCTGCTAGGTTCTGATGACCACAAGAGTCCCCCCTGTCTTTGAATACCGAATGTGCTAGGTTTTGATGACCACAAGAGTCCCCCCTTGAATACCCAATCTGCTAGGTTTTGATGACCACAAGAGTCCCTCCTGTGTCTTTGAATACCCAATCTGCTAGGTTTTGATGACAAGAGTCCCCCGTTTCTTTGAATACTCAATCTGCTAGGTTTTGATGACCACAAGAGTCCCCCCCATATCTTTGAATACCCAATCTGTTAGGTTTAGATGACCACAAGAATCCCCCCCCATGTCTTTAAATACCCAATCTGCTAGGTTTTGATGACCACAAGAGTCCCCCCTGTGTCTTTGAATACCCAATCTGCTAGGTTTTGATGACCACAAGAGTCCCCCCTGTGTCTTTGAATACCCAATCTGCTAGGTTTAGATGACCACAAGAGTCCCCCCTGTCTTTGAATACCCAGTCTGCTAGGTTTTGATGACCACAAGAGTCCCCCCTGTGTCTTTGAATACCCAATCTGCTAGGTTTTGATGACCACAAGAGTCCCTCCTGTGTCTTTGAATACCCAATCTGCTAGGATTTGATGACCACAAGAGCCCCTCCCCCCCCCCCCCCGTCTTGGAATATTCAGTATGCTAGTGCAGGGGAACAACCGATCACATGACAAGGCTATCGTTGATCACATTCTATTACAGAATTTTATGCTTTCTCCAGCTGCTGCAAACTGACAGTTGATGGTGGAGAACAAAGACAGCGAGTTTGACCCTCACCTCTTAAGATGAAACTTGAGGTAGCGCAGGATGTCCCGGCCAGGCAGGAAAGTGCAGCTCATGGAGGTGAGCAGCTGCCAGTGCCGCAGGTTACCAGTGCTGTTGGGCTGGGGGACGTGATTGGTCTGTTTGATCAGCTGACAATAAACTTCGTCTCTGAGTGGCTTGAGATCCTGGCAGGTCTGCAGGATGCCTTGGATTATGGGGACAGGATCAGGAACTGTCTCTATTTCCTGCAGAGAGTTAAAGATCCTCACCGCCTCGTCCTGAAGAGTGGTGTATCCCTTCTCTTTTTGTACTGAAAACAAGTGGGAAAAAAATTGTCAAGTGAGCACAGAATCCAGGAGCAAGTCAGATCAATCTAGAAGACCGCAGAGAAAACGAATAGAACATGTAAAAACGACTGTTAATTAAAGTATATGTGACCCCCTCACCTTGTAAAACAGCCTATTCAATTTAAAATAGAAATGAAAAACAAAACATTTGTGTATAGCTATAAAAAGGTATTTATAATGTTTTGATAAGTGATCACAGTTCTCAGCTGCATAGGGAGTTCAGAGAGCTGGGGGGGGGGGGGGGGGGGGGGGGGAGAAACAGCAATACACTGGTCTTTCCAGTGAATGGTTGTGCATGGTGGGGGGGGGTGTCAGGAAAAAATCTGATCATTGAAGTAGAAAAGGCTGAACTCCCAGAACAGACATAAAACTGACCACACACTGCGCTCTCATGCCTAGTGTGGTCAGTTTTAATAGGAAAATCAGGAGGACTGGCAGGAACACCAGGGATTTCACACAAAGGAAGCAATGCAAAGAGAACAGGAGACTTTTTCATACAAGTACGCGGTACAGCAGGCGCATATCAGGAATAGTAAATGCTGTGTTTACATATTCTTTAATATTATTAAAATAGATCTTGCACAGAATGAAAAATACCTGCTGATCCTGCCAGAAATTCAGAGCTGTCCTGTGCACACTTCCTGTGTGAACTCATAAATGTTATTAGTCACCCTTCCACTCCCTCCTCTCCGCTCTCATCTTGGACTACAGAATCATTTATGTTGATAAAGACAGTACACGGGTTTGAGTAGCGTAGCCAAAGAGAACTGGGCAGGGCTGACACTACTGGACAAAGCATGGGGAAATGTGCATGTGTTCTGAGATGTACTGGATATGGTTTTTTTTGCCCTGACATACAATTTAAAGAGTACCTCCACTTTTGTTGAGGGAAAAAAAACATTCCCCTCTGGGTGATCTATGTACATTGCAGGGATTTTAACAAACTTTTTTTTTTTTTTTTTTTTTTTTACAGATTCCTACCTTTTATTATTCTGAAGATATAGCTGTTTGTCTGTTTCCATGTGCTGAGTGAATCTGTATGGGAGTGATTTTAAAATTATCAACCAGCTGCTGCACCTGCAGGGTTCTAAAGGAAAGTGGCAGGGTCTGCATCTCTTTAGACATGATTTCCCTTTTGGAGTATCCCACCAAAAATGACATTTTTGTTGCAGGGGATGTCTAAAATCTGACTTGTATCTTAGTGCAGACTTCTGGCAAAATCAGTGAGACAATCAGACAAGCAGGAAACAACATTTCTGGGGGGCGCTCTGTATACCATCTGTGTACAGAACGCCTCCAAGTAGCCATTTTGCATTGCATTTTACAGAAAATCACTGCACATTGAAAAAGAAAGATCATATTTAATAACATTCAATGACAATGTGACCTGTGTCACAATTGTATATGCTAGATTATTTTTTTTTTTTATTTGCTATTTTTTCCCATGAAATTGGAGTTACCCTTTAAATACATCGTTATGATCCTTTAATCCAAATGGGCAGACTGTTCACTGTAATGGTATGACCCGTCTACAAACAAGTCTACCGCTTGCTGAACGGAGATCTGGGTATAATTTATGTCACCTCATTGTTCAAAGTTTATTTTCACCAAAAGCCCAACTCATATTGTTTATTGTTTGGAGAGGAGGAAGTGACTTTCTTAAAGGGCATGTAGAGTTCCCTCATTCACTATTACAATGGTGACAATGGGAGCTGGAAGTCAATGCTCAGAGGTAACTTTGGGTTCTCGGGGGTCAATTTATTCACTACACTCCCGGGAAGCATGGAAACGTATTGTAACTTAAAGGACATGTAATCATACAGGACATAGAACCCTAAACTAGAGTTTGATTGTTAAAAAGTACATTAATAGCCCTGGCACAATTATATATATATATACACACACACACACACACACACACACAGTGGGGATCGAAAGTTTGGGCACCCCAGCTAAAAATTTGTATTAATGTGCATAAAGAAGCCAAGGAAAGATGGAAAAATCTCCAAAAGGCATCAAATTACAGATTAGACATTCTTATAATATGTCAACAAAAGTTAGATTTTATTTCCATCATTTACACTTTCAAAATAACAGAAAACAAAAAAATGGCGTCTGCAAAAGTTTGGGCACCCTGCAGAGTTAATATCTTGTACTGCCCCCTTTGGCAAGTATCACAGCTTGTAAACGCTTTTTGTAGCCAGCCAAGCGTCTTTCAATTCTTGTTTGAGGTATCTTTGCCCATTCTTCCTTACAAAAGTCTTCCAGTTCTTTGAGATTTCTGGGCTGTCTGTCACGCACTGCTCTTTTAAGGTCTATCCATAGATTTCAATTATGTTGAGGTCAAGAGATTGTGAAGGCCATGGCAAAACCTTCAGTTTACGCCTCTTGATGTAATCCCCGTGGATTTCGAGGTGTGTTTAGGATCATCATCCATTTGTAGAAGCCATCCTCTCTTTAACTTCAGCTTTTTCACAGATGGCATCAAGTTACCATCCAAATTTTGCTGAAATTTTATTGAATCCATTTTTCCTTCTACTCGTGAGATGTTCCCTGTGCCACTGCCTGCAACAAAACCCCAAAGCATGATTGATCCAACCCCATGCTTAACAGTTGGACAGAGGTTATTTTCATTAAATTCTGTGCCCCTTCTTCTCCAAACGTACCTTTGTTCATTCCAGCCAAAAAGTTAAATTTTAACCTCATCGGCCCACAGAACTTGTTTCCAAAATGCATCAGGCTTGTCTATATGTTCATTTGCAAAGTTCAAACGATGATTTTTGTGGTGAGGACGTAGAAGAGGTTTTCTTCTGATGACTCTTCCATGAAGACCATATTTGTACAAGTATCTCTTTATAGTGGAATAGTGTACCACAACTCCAGTGTCTGCCAGATCTTTCTGGCGGGATCGTGCAGTCAAACGTGGGTTTTGAATTGTTTTCTCACAATCCTGCGAGCTGTTCTGTCTGATATTTTTCTTGGTCTTCCAGATCTTGCTTTAACTTCCACTGTTCCTGATGACTGCCATTTCTTAATTACATTCCGAACAGAGGATATTGACATCTGAAAACGCTTTGCTATCTTCTTATAGCCTTCTCCAGCTTTGTGAGCGTCAACTATTTTCAGTTTCAGTTTTCTAGACAACTGCTTAGAAGAACCCATGGTGCTGATTGTTGGGGCAAGGTCGGATGAGTCTGGGCATTTAAAACCTTTGGGATTGACATCACCTGGTCTTCCCAGACGATGATTGAGAACAATCCATGATGCTATAAATTCTATAATTTATGCAGGGTGCCCAAACTTTTGCAGACGCCATTTTTTTGTTTTCTGTTATTTTGAAAGTGTAAATGATGGAAATAAAATCTAACTTTTGTTGACATATTATAAGAATGTCTAATCTGTAATTTGATACCTTTTGGAGATTTTTCCATCTTTTCTTGGCTTCTTTATGCACATTAATACAAATTTTTAGCTGGGGTGCTCAAACTTTCAATCCCCACTGTATATATATATATATATATATATATATATATATATATATATATATATATATATATATATATATATATATCTATCTATCTATCTATTTCTCTCTCTCTCTATATATATATTATTATAATACAGTGTTTATATAGCGCCAAAGGGTTTGCTCAGCGCTGTACAGTAGAAAGGGGGACAGAACATGAGACAAGACGGTAACAATACAATACACGAGGGGTTCGAGGGCCCTACTCTTTCGAGCTTACAATCTAGGAGGGAGGGGATAGTGGTACAGGAGGAAGTGGCTGTGGGGGATGGAGTGGTGGGAAAAGTGGAGGAGATCAGATTGTTAGGTGAGATTAAGGTAGGCTTCCCTGAAGAGGAGGGTTTTCAGGGTGCGCCTGAAGGTGAGGAGGGTAGGTGACAGTCTGATGGATTGGGGTAGGGAGGTCCAGAGGATGGGGGAAGTCCTGGAGAAGTCCTGCAATCGGACGTGGGAGGAGAAGACCAGGGAGCTAGAGAGTAGGAGGTCCTGTGAGGAGCGGAGGGCACGGGTAGGGTAGTATTTGGGTATCAGGTCAGTTATGTAGTTCGGGGCGGCGTTGTGAATGGCTTTGTAGGTCAGGGTTAGCAGTTTGAATTTGATGCGTTGGGCAATCAGGAGCCAGTGAAGGGATTGGCAGAGGGGGGAGGCAGATGTGGAGCGCTTGGTGAGGTGGATGAGTCTGGCCGCTGAATTTAGGATAGACTGGAGTGGGGATAGCGTTCGTTTGGGTAGGCCAGTGAGAAGGGAGTTGCAGTAGTCCAGGCGTGAGATGATGAATATAAATATAATGATGAATATAAATAAAACTTTTTTTTTTAATCATTATTTATTTATTAAAACAGGATATATATTGGACAAAACAGGTTTGTTTTTTTTTTTGTTTTTTTGTTTTTTTTTAACTTCTAGTTCTAGCTGAATAAGTGAATCAGTGATGCAGATGAGGATAAATACAACCGAGGCTGACGTCTCCATACAGCAGTGGAAGCAATCCCAAACTCTGCACGTGGTGCAATCCCAAACTCTGCACTCTGCACGTAGTGCAATCCCAAACTCTGCACGTGGTGCAATCCCAAACTCTGCACGTGGTGCAATCCCAAACTCTGCACGTGGTGCAATCCCAAACTCTGCACGTGGTGCAATCCCAAACTCTGCACGTAGTGCAATCCCAAACTCCCGAAAAAAAACAAAACAAAAAAACACAGTTCTAGCTAAATCAGTGACACAGATGAGGATACATACAACTGAGGCTGACGTCTCCATAGGGCAGTGGAAGCAGAGGGGAGTGCAGGGGATGCTGGGTATATCTCAGGATGGGGTTCCTCCTGTAGGTCTGCTCTACAGCTTCACTGTTCAGGCTGTTCTCCTGATAAACAAAAAGAAAATGTTGACAAATGTAACAGAAAATGTAAATGTTATTTAGTGATTGGAAGAGCTTACACAGACACCATTTAATTCCCAACTGCCCAGAAGTAAATCGTGTGTATGAGACTACCAGTGAATGCAGAGGAATGCATGGGGTTGGCCATAGGTGCTCATTACATAGACAGTACAGACAGTGGGATAAACGTCCAGCAGGTAGTGAGCCAGTCAACATTAAATAACTTCAAACATGCTTGGGACAAGCATAGATCTATACTAAGACCAAAAAGGTAACAAAAGAAAAACAACCCTCTACCAAAAAAAAAAAAACAAAAAAAAAAATACACAAAAAGGGCAGACTCGATGGACCACGCAGTCTTTTTCTGCCATCAATTTTCTACATTTCTATGCAGTACATGCGTTTTATCCACTGTGCTGATGGAAATATCTTTATAAACAGATTTCCACTGAAAACGATGTACTATGTGTGGCTTATCCCATTGTGTTTCCTGCAGCAGTTGTTCAGCAAGAATGCCTGTTGTGTTCTGAGACACATGATCACTAGAGGGAGCACCTATAAACCTGTATGATGAAAATATACAAACACCGGCCACTTTATTATGTCCACCTGTTCAATTGCTTGGTAACACAAATTGCTAATCAGCCAATCACATGGCAGCAACTCAATGCATTTAGTCATCTAGATGTGGTGAAGATGACTTGCTGAAGTTAAAACCGATCATCAGAATGGGGAAGAAAGGGAATTTAAGTGACTTTGAACGTGACATGGTTGTTGGTGCCAGACGGGCTGGTCTGAGTATTTCAAAAACTGCTGATCTACTGGGATTTTCACACACAACCATCTCTAGGGTTTACAAAGAATGGTCCAAAAAAGAGAAAATATCCAGTGAGTGGCAGTTGTGTGGATGAAAATGCCTTGTTGATGTCAGCGATCAGAGGAGAATGGGCAGACTAGTTGCTGCAACATTCAGATGGTACGGTCAGAATTTGGCATAAACAGCATGAAAGCATGGATCCATCCTGCCTTGTATCAATGGTTCTGTCTGGTTGGGATGAAATGGTGTGCGGGAGATTTTCTTGGTACTAGCTACCTAAAAAAGTGTCCAGTGCAGTGGCAGACTGACAACTCATTGGGCCCCTGGGCAATAGGGGATCATGGGGCCCCTGTGTCCTTGCCCAAACTCAAAAAAGCCTATGAAAATGGTACCAGGGGCATCTCATGGGGCCCCCTACTGAACCCGGGCCCTCGGGCAGTGCCCGAGTTTCCAAATGGTCAGTCTGCCCCTGGTCCAGTGAGTGTATACTGTACACTTTTTCCTGGCTAAGTGGTCATTAAAGATCCACAAAACACAATGATGGTGTTTTTATGATCAATAAATACAGACCTTCTTGAAGAATCCATTTGAAAACACTTTTTTATTGAATGGATACCTCTGCTCACCACACGCTGGTTCTTGGCACTAACAAGGTGTACCTAATAAAGTGGCCGGAGGGTGTAGTGTGTAACTGTAATGTACACTGCCCTCTGCAGGCTGAAGGCTCTATTCACAGCTGCCAGAGTGCTTTACCTGTCCAGCAGCTGTGCGCTCCTGACTGCGCTAGGGGAGCAGTGTGGTGCGCAATTCAGCGCATCATGGGACTCCCTTTTTTTTTCTTTTGGACAAGTTTTATTTGAAGTGTACAAAACGTACAATGCCATGTGATTCTGTGCACGCTGGCTTTGTTGCAGTGTGAATGGGACGTATGGGACAATTGTTTTCTGTGTGTCCTTGCGACGACAGTCATTTTACAATGCAGTAAAAACGGCTGTCAATGCACAGTGTGCGAAAAGGGCAGAAGGCTTTACTTACTAATGAACCTCCAGCCTGCCATAATTATGTCAAGGCTGCCACAGTGATCCAATGATCATGAACCATGATGAGTGGTTCCCAATCTTAGTGGGGCTCATTAGGACAGCTAACTATGCACAGTGTTGGCTGATAGCCGTCAATGGAGAGATTCATATTCCCTCAACACCGGGTACCGTGGAAGGGGGTATTAATATTCTGCAGATTACAGTCTAGAAGCAGTTATAGGACGCCCCTGAAGACGTCACAGATGACGAAACGCATTGGGAGGAGTCGGAACGCATGACGTCAGCACGTACCGGAATGTGGCGGCCATGTTGTTGGTTAGAAACTTACAATTTGGTTATATGGTGATATGCTGTTTTAACCTCTTCACGCCGGCTGCACGCAAATGTGCGGCCTCCTGGCATCTGGGCCTTGACGCCGAGCGGCCGCACATTTGCATACAATTAACAAAAACATATGTGCTGAGAGTGCATACCCTGCGCGCTCCCAGCGCACATGTCCGGTACTCACGGAAAGGCCCCAACCTCCTCTTTCGATCGGGACCTTTTCCGATCATGTGAGCGCCGTGACAGCGAATCACGGCGGTCACATGACCTTAAAACCCCGCCCTGCCTCCTGGCTTCTGAAACCCTTAAAGGGCTGGGAGGCGCCGGCACCAAGGGGTTAAATATCTTTTGATGTACGTATAATACTACGTTGTAAGGCAATAAATCCTGCTAATCATACTACACTATGAGGATTCTTTTGCTTTTTGGATGACTTTGTCTTCTGAGGATAATTCATTGTTTTAGTCGATATTTGGCAATTTATCTGAAGTATCCGTTTGGGAGCCAATGCCTTGATTTGGGAATCTAATGAGAGGGATCCTATTGGCATCTATCTACATCCAGTATTTGGAGAGCACTGTATCCCCCCAGAGTCAGCAGTAACAGAGTTTGTCATCCTAATTTGGTATCCACACTATGCTTTTCTTGACCGCCACTTAATTGTGGGGTCACTCAAGTCTAGTAAGAGGCAGTATTTTTTGAGGTGCTGGTGATGGCGGATCCCCAAGACGTTTTTTTGAATTTTTTTTTTTAATTATTTGAACTTTTATCAGTAGAGACTTTATGTTTAACTTTTTTCTTTTTTTTGCACATCATTGGACATTATAATTTATAATTCTTTTATTATTTATTTTTTGTCTAGTTGTAGTTTTGTATTTGTAGCGCCGTACTTTTTGTTTTATAAGCTTTATGCAGGGGTTAAAATTTCGAGTCCAGACCTACTAGCCAGGCACAAACCTTACTCGTGTCCCCCACGGCGGTGGAGAGCGGGCCTCGTGTCCCCCACGGCGGTGGAGAGCGCGCCTCGTGTCCCCCACGGCGGTGGAGAGCGCGCCTCGTGTCCCCCACGGCGGTGGAGAGCGCGCCTCGTGTCCCCCACGGCGGTGGAGAGCGCGCCTCGTGTCCCCCACGGCGGTGGAGAGCGCGCCTCGTGTCCCCCACGGCGGTGGAGAGCGCGCCTCGTGTCCCCCACGGCGGTGGAGAGCGCGCCTCGTGTCCCCCACGGCGGTGGAGAGCGCGCCTCGTGTCCCCCACGGCGGTGGAGAGCGCGCCTCGTGTCCCCCACGGCGGTGGAGAGCGCGCCTCGTGTCCCCCACGGCGGTGGAGAGCGCGCCTCGTGTCCCCCACGGCGGTGGAGAGCGCGCCTCGTGTCCCCCACGGCGGTGGAGAGCGCGCCTCGTGTCCCCCACGGCGGTGGAGAGCGCGCCTCGTGTCCCCCACGGCGGTGGAGAGGGTGTCTCCTCTCAGTGTAGGAGAGCAGACCTCTCCTGCACGTGTCCCCTCAGTGGCGCTGCCACTGTAATGGCGATGCCGCGGAAACCGGAAGTTGTAAACCAGAACTCGGCTTCACAATGAGGCCTAGAGTGCATGTGCTGTTGCTCCATGCTTCTTCATCTGTGCTCGCCGCTCGCAGCCACTCGCCGCAGAGGAATTTCTCCTCGCATTTGGCGAGCGGGCAACAGGCTTTTTCAAGCCCTGCTTTATGTATTGATACCTGCGATACTGTGCTGGCTGCTTCTTTTTTATACTTCATTTAAAAACACACTTTATTTAAACACATATAGCACAGAAGTGTCAAATTGTTAGTTATAGGACCACTGCCACTGACCACTGTGTTCAGATCTTTATTAGATCATCATTTTGTGAACCGATCAAAACAGCCAGCAACACAATAAACTACAGTCCTTTGCCTTTAGTTAATCAATGAAGCACAGAGATAAAAAAAATTATTTTGTGATCATTGTCTTTTAAATGCTACTAAAACAAGAACATAAGATAAATCTGTGTTATTTACCTTGATGTCTCGGATGAGCTGCTGTGTTGGGGTCTCTATGGGGGCTTTACTATCAATCACTCCCTGAATGGCGTTCGCCCATCTCATGGCTTCATTCAGCAGCTTGGTGTAGAGTCTGTATGAGTGTTTCCTTCCATAGACTACAATATTCCAATATCCTGCAATAGGAGGTCAGTGAAGGTTAGCGATCCATATCATGACTGTATAGCTATGGCACTGCCAAACACCACCTGCCTGCCCATACCGGTTTCAGTGTGCGTCTTCTCATCCGCCTGCACCACAGAACACAGGCTGTTCAGAACCAACGTGCCGAGCTTTGAGGCCGTCCTCTCCGATGTTTTGTAGTAATCCAGAGCATTTCGGGTCAGCACAAACCAGCGCCGTTTTAGCTTCAAAGAGGCCATTTTGTTGCTGTTCTGGACTTCTTTATGCAGCCAACCTAAGAAAGAGACATGCAGGGAATACATTTTCTTTAAGGACAGCAGGGCATAAAAAAAATGGTCATTTTCACCACAGCCTGGCATTTTCTGGTTGTATTGAAGCTTGGTGGGAAGAATAGGCAACAGTTGGTGGAAATACCTCTGACAAGGAACTCTTGGCCGTCCACCTTGGCCTCTCCACGCGGTTTCTGCAGCAATGAGATCCAATGGTGCATCTCCTCTGCGATGTCCGTGTTGCAGTGAATGACGCGGTTTGCAGTGATTATCACAAAGGAGTTGGGTCTATAGGAGAATGAGAAGCCAAATAAAAATTTACACTCAACGGCCACTTTATTAGGTACACCTGTTCAATTGCTTGGTAACACAAATGGCTAATCAGCCAATCACATGGCAGCAACTCAATGCATTTAGGCATGAAGGCGTGGTGAAGACGACTTGTTGAAGTTCAAGCCGAGCATCAGAATGGGAAAAAAATGGGATTTAAGTGTCTTGGAACGTGACATGGTTGTTGGTGCCAGATGGGCTGGTCTGAGTATTTCAAAAACTGATCTACTGGGATTTTCACGCACAACCATCTCTAGGGTTTACAGAGAATGGTCCGCAAAAGAGAAAATATCTAGTGAGTGGCAGTTGTGTGGACGACAATGCCTTGTTGATGTCAGAGGAGAATAGGCAGACTGGTTGTTGCAAAGTTCAGATGGTAGGAGAAGAATTTGTCGTAAGCAACATGAAAGCATGGATCCATCCTGCCTTGTATCAACGGTTCAGGCTGGTGGTGGTGTAATGGTGTGGGGGAGATTTTCTTGGCTCTAGCAAGGTGTTCTGTATCTAATAAAGTGGCCGGTGAATGTATATGGAGATACTCCTGGGACAAAGAAAACATTAAATCTCAAGATTATAAAAATTTATTATTGAAGAACTAATAACTCTTAAAGCCCAACTCTGGGCACAATGAAAACGAAATACCCTGGCAGTGCTCCACCACCACCCACCACACTCCAAGGATGAAATGCTCTAGGGCACAGGTGTCAAACTGGGGGCCCTCCAACTCTTGCCATACTACAAGTCCCATGAGGCATTGCAAGATTGGCAGTTTCAATAATGACTTCCAAAGGCGGAGGCATGATGGGACTTGTAGTTTCGCAACAGCTGGAGGGCCGCCAGTTTGACACCCCTGCTCTAGGGGGTTGTGAAAGAGGATTTATTACTCACCTTCCCCTTGCTACAACAGGCTCCCTCATTCTGCTGGACTGGTCCCCAGTAGGATCCTCTCTAAGCCACTCTCAGCTGTTGTCACAAGTTTGTTCCCCTCACATACAATGCAGGGCTATTAATCCTGTGAAGGAGTTGCTAAGAATAACGTTTAAATATGTGTTTTCTGTGGAAGGATTAAAGGATAAGTTCACCTTTTAAAAAAATAAATAAATAAATGCACATTTTCATTTTTTTTTGCAGGTACAAAATCGTGCATTTACCTTTCTTTTTTTTTTTTAGGAGCCCCCAAAGCATTGCACCAGTGATCAGCAGATTGTTGGTGCAGTGCAGGACTCCTACAGATTGTCAATGTGAGCTGTCTGTCCGTACCAGGTACAGGTAGGCACTTTCAAACTGACAGGAAGAATCAATGAATAGTTCATTGAGAACTACAATCTGACATCCGCATAGGATATCTGTGCTTGTAGTTGATTCATTCACAGAACTCTGAATGAATGACGTGGCTGTGTGGGTGGAGCCCCGTGCAGTCACACACTTTAAAAAAATGACAGCTGGGGAGCTGTCACACACAAGGCTCGGATCATCGATCTGTTGCAGGAGCGGTAACACGTTACATGTTCAACCCTAAAAATGGGTGGAACATGTAACATGTTCCTGAAGGTGAACTTATCCTATAATTTATGTTGGTGGAGTAATGGCCTCCAGATGATGCTATGAACACAGGGCTGCTGTTAGAAACCACGGAGCCCCATACAGCCAACCGTACAGGCTCACCCCCCAAAAAAAACACACTGTTTACTAGGCTTCAGTTATGAATGAACACAGTGAGTGATCAGTTCTAATCATTCATTGTGTTCATTCATAAAGGGAAGGGGATGGTAACTGTGACATTTACCGGACTCTTCCCTCACTCTCTATCCTGAAGGATCCTATTGTGTGCTTGCAGCTGCCTGTGGAAAGGGAAGGAGGGAAGCCGGCATCACTGCAGGGTTAGGAGGGGGCACACAGAGGGGCCTGGGAGCAGGGGAAACGTATGGTGCACCATCAATTACTGGAAACGATCCCCTGTATGGCTCTCTCTGCAGCAGCTGAAAGCCAGTGGGAGGGGATAAGAAGCCAGCATACAGCTGCTGCAGAGAGAGCCATACAGGGGATCGGTTCCAGTAATTGCCCTTACCATGCTGATCACCCTCCCTGCCCACATTCGAATCACCCAGCTGCCTGGGCTCCGTACAGGAGGACTGGTGGTACCCCCTTATCCACGGCCCTGTATAAATACACAGTAGACAAAACACAATAAGTGTCAATATCAAAATATTAAAAAAAATATTTCCTATGAAATAGGCTGTTCACTTTGCGAGGTGCAGATGCTCCACAGCTTAGTATATGAGCAGAAGCTCATGTTTTTCCTTGCATGTGATTGGGTATTCTTTGCAAATGAAGCTTTATCTGCAACTGCACTTGCAGAGTTAAAGTGCACTTTACAAAGTGCACAGTCTATTTGCCTTTCGTAAATCAACCTCATAGCCCCTGTTGGATGCAGTCGCTCAGATCTGAACACATGCTACAGGGAAAATTAAAAAAAAAAAACTCTTGGTATTCGGGGGGCAGCGTTGCCACTAAATGAGACACATTCACGTTAAAGGGGCTGTGGCGCAACCGTGCGTAATGCACATTGCAGCACAGTGGGGCGGCCTTTTGAAGGTTAAAACAGGAGGTGAGGGGGCATATCATGCTTTGCTGGGTTTTTGCCTTCCTCTGGAGCAACTGTTTGGTATAGGGCAGTGGTCTCCAAACTGCAGCCTGGGGTCTGATGTGGCCCTCTGCTTGCATTTATCTGGCCCTTGGGGCACTATTCCACCAACTGTCACCAGTGATGAAGCACCATTCCCTCTACAACTGACGCCATCAATGGGGCACTATGCTTCTCACTGATATCAACAATGGGGCACTATTCTTCCCACTGATATCAACAATGGGGCACTATTCTTCCCACTGATATCAACAATGGGGCACTATTCTTCCCACTGATATCAACAATGGGGCACTATTCTTCCCACTGATATCAACAATGGGGCACTATTCTTCCCACTGATATCAACAATGGGGCACTATTCTTCCCACTGATATCAACAATGGGGCACTATTCTTCCCACTGATATCAACAATGGGGCACTATTCTTCTCACTGATATCAACAATGGGGCACTATTCTTCTCACTGATATCAACAATGGGGCACTATTCTTCTCACTGATATCCACAATGGGGCACTATTCTTCCCACTGATATCAACAATGGGGCACTATTCTTCTCACTGATATCAACAATGGGGCACTATTCTTCTCACTGATATCAACAATGGGGCACTATTCTTCCCACTGATATCAACAATGGGGCACTATTCTTCCCACTGATATCAACAATGGGGCACTATTCTTCTCACTGATAACAATGGGGCACTATTCTTCTCAGTGATATCAACAATGGGGCACTATTCTTCTCACTGATATCAACAATGGGGCACTATTCTTTTCACTGATAACAATGGGGCACTATTCTTCTCACTGATATCAACAATGGGGCACTATTCTTCTCACTGATATCAACAATGGGGCACTATTCTTTTCACTGATAACAATGGGGCACTATTCTTCTCACTGATATCAACAATGGGGCACTATTCTTCTCACTGATAACAATGGGGCACTATTCTTCTCAGTGATATCAACAATGGGGCACTATTCTTCTCACTGATATCGACAACGAGGCACTTTTCTTCTCACTTATATCAACAATGGGGCACTATTCTTCCGGCTACAGTCCGGCCCCCCCTAAAGTCTGAAGGACAGTAAATTGAGCATTTGCTTAGAAAGTTTGGAAACCTCTGGAATAGGATCATAACTTTTTTTTTTGGTTGAACTGGATGGACTTTTGTCGTTTTTCAGCCACACTAACTATGCATGTATGCATGCAGGGGCAGACTGACCATTTGGAAACTCGGGCACTGCCCGAGGGCCCGGGGTCAGTAGGGGGCCCCATGAGATGCCCCTGGTACCTTTTGCATAGGATTTTTTGAGTTTGGGCAAGGACACAGGGGCCCCATGAGTTGTCAGTCTGCCCCTGTATGTATGTACTGTATGTAAGTACTATGTATATTGCCTTTCAAGCAACTGCACGTGCCCTCTGAAAAGCTGCATGTGAGAAGGAGCCTTTAGAGGCACATTGCACGGTGCATTTAATATGACACACACTTTAACTGTTTTTATGGAAATGGATAATTGTACAACAGCTTTCAGTTGACAAGCATTGTGTTCACTGCAAACCACATTATATACAATAGAGTCCGTACACATCGCACATTACCTGTCCGGACAGTCTGATGCGCAGACAGAATCAATGAGCCCGACGTCCAGCGTTCCCTGCAGGAGACACAGAAGATCGTTCATCTTTCATGGTAATGCAGAACAGATTAGCGGGAAATTGATGTAACGTGGGTAGGAGAGATCGCCGTCCTGTCTGGAGGGGAGTGCAGGAAATCTGTCCGCGGGATCTGAAACTCCTGACTCACAGGGCAGACACTCACCACAGCATTCTTGGGGTTGGCTTGCTCATCCCTCATATCTCGCAGCTGTTGGGCGGTCGCCGTGTGAACTCGGCTCAGAACATTGAACCAGCCACTGATGGGGAGAAATAAATACATGTTAGCTAAGACGGTCACTTAAAGACAAAAATCAAGCCAAAAAAATACAATGAATATCAAGTCAAAACAATACAATGAATATCAAGTCAAAAACAATACAATGAATATCAAGCCAAAACAATACAATGATAAAAAGCCCATTAAAAAAAAGCAACAAAACCAGCTTTTGCCTTTTTTTGCCTCTAGATATCCTCAGCATCATTCAACCCACTTCCTCTGAGCCCAGACTGTCCATGGACCTGCCACCAGGCTGTGATTGGACAATCAAAGGAGAAGCAACACAGTAATAGCCTCATGTCTCTGTCACTCTGCTCTCTCCTCCTATCAGCCTGCTTCTTGTCAGCACATGAACGGATTGGCTCCTTGAGCTGCTTCTTTCTCTCACACTCCAGCCCTGCTGTATAGGGACTGCAAGAGGCTAGTCTGCTAGTTTGGTATCATTACTCACTGTTCAGGTTTCCTAAAACAGATGGAAAAGCCTACTTTAAAATGTTGCCTCCCCATTCCTCTGTATACATTTTCCCCCCAATTTTTGCAGTCACGTGCCCACAACCCTCCAGCACCTGTGTGTAAATGTGCAGATCCTGGGGCTGGTGGGAAGGAACACTCCTTCACATCAACATCTAAATCAGTGGACGCCAAGGGGTGTGACATCATTGTTCTGTGAAGTCAGCCCCATTGTTGACCCTCCTCTTTACACAAAGCAAGAGCACTACTTTAATATTAGAGAATATGTGAACCCAACATTTCCTATTCCCGATCTGTGCCTGCTGTATCATGTACTTGTATGAAAAAGTCCCCTGTTCTCTTTGTATGGCTTCCTTTGTGTGAAATTCCCAGTGTTCCTGCCAGTCCCTCTGTTTTCCTATTAAAAACTGACCACACTAGGCTTGGGAGCACAGTGTGGTCAGTTTTCTGGCTGTGGTTCGAGCTAATCCAATGATCAGGCTTGAGCTAACATGCCCCTACCTGCATAGCCATTCACTGGGAAGACCAGTGTACTGCTGTTTCTCCACCCTCACTTCTCTATGCAGCTGAGAACAGAGGAATCACACTGCACTCCTAATCAAATCACAAGCAATACTTTGCAGTGTGATTTGAGCCCATTCATTTTGTGTGGCTCAAATTGCACTACACCCGAACGAAAAAAGGTGCATGCAGCTTTTTTTTTGTTGCACAGAAATTGGATGCATGGGTGTTCACATCCATGTGCTCCGATTCTGGCAATCGCACTGTGTTTTGCAATCTGTTCTTGGGTCGTCGATAACTTAACACTGACAACCGCAGCAGATCGCATGAACAGATTTGGATGCGGTGTGGGGAATGCACAGGATTTGTTGCTTTTCCTGCACTGCATATACACTCACTGGCTACTTTATTAGGTACAACCTGTTCGATTGCTTGGAAACACAAACTGCTAATCAGCCAATCACATGGCAGCGACTCAATGCATTATGTATTGCCGATACCAATTACCGATACCTATTTTGCCCTTAGATGCATTTATTTTTTTTAGCCCCCATTCACACCAATGTGATTTGTCATGCAATTTGACATTATGCATGAAGTCGCACTGACCAGCAGCTTTGAAATCGCACTACTTCAAGTTAACACCACCCCGAAAGCGGTCCGCAGTGCGATGTGTAGAATCGGATCGCATAGGTGTGAATACCCATGTGATCGGGTTCTAGTGAGGACCAAAATAAGGGTCCTGCACCTTGTTGTTGCGAGTGCGATGCGATTAGAGCCACACAAAATGTATGGCTCCAATCGCACACAAATGGCATGTGATTTGCACAGGAATGCGGTGCGGCTCCTATGCCAATCACATGCGATATACCGCACCGCATATATGTGAACCCGGGCTAAAGGATTTTCCTCACCTTGCATCTTCTGGAGTCTCCGCCACAATGTGATAGGTCCTCTCTTCCGTCACAACATCCAAAGCATTCTCCTTCTCATGTATATCAATGATGGCTCTGAAAGACACAACAAATTTGGATGACATTATACGAATTCTGCACTTACCATGCAAAGCTACAGGACCTCCGCGTTCTATACATACCGCCCTACTGGGGGAGCAACAGTAAGAATGCATCCATGGGAAAATGAACCACCTTCCGGCCGGGCCGTTGTATATAAACGGCCAGACGGTGGCAGTGCAGGTGCGGGTGGTCGTTTATAAACAGCCTCCCCGCACCCTGCTTGTGCGCGCTCCCTGGGAGCGTGCAGCACCGCGATCGTCAGACGGGACCTCTGTTCCAGGTCCCCATCATGTGACCACTGATTGGCATATCAGTGATCACATGCAGAGTAGTAAGCAATATGTCACTTTTGACATTATTGCTTACTACGTGTGAAATCTGTGAATGATCACAGAGGTCACATGGTACAAGGCTATTCACAACAACCTTGTTCCATGTGACAAGCTGTGACCAATCACAGCTCACTCAGTAGTTCTCAATGACTGCAAGAATGCAGCCAGAGAGAAGGAGAAATGATTGCTTTTACAGCCTTTATGGGTGTAAAAGCAATCAGTGTAAAAGAAAAAAAAAAAAATCTTCATCACCCCCCACAAGTAGTACAGTGTCACCATGGTGACACTGTACTGCTAGGGTGACAGTATGTAAAAAAAAAAAAAAAAAAAAAAAAAAAAAAAAAAAAAAAACAAATCATATAAAAGATTAAAAAAAAGTAAAAAAAAAAAAGTTTAAAAATTGTAATGCTAGGTTATAAACTAATTTGTTTTTTTTTTTTTTACTAAAAAGATAACGGAATAAATTTTGGCCAAGATTTATGATGAAATTATTTATTTGCAAAATGTTATAAGAAAAACTTTTTTTCAACATTTTTGGACTTCTTCATTTACATAGCAATAAAAATCCCAGTGGTGAATAAATACCACCAAAATAAAGCTTTACCTGTCTCAAAAAAATGCCAAAAAATTCATATGGGTACAGTGTTGCATGACTGCGCAATTGTCATTCAAAGTGTGATAGCGCTGAAAGCTGAAAATTGGCCTGGACAGGAAGGGGGTGAAAGTGTCCGGACTTGAAGTGGTTAATATTGCATGCAGCTGAGCAGGATGGTCAGGTATTATTATTATTACTATTATTATTATACAGGGTTTATATAGCACCAACAGTTTACACAGCACTTTACAACATAAGGGCGTTTAATTTAGTACGGGGGGGGGGGGGGGGATCAGAGGGCCCTGCTCGTCAGAGCTTACAATCTAAATTTTATATAGAATACTGTATTGCTTATAATGAGTCAAAGAATGAGCATTGGAATAAGCACATAATGCACAGAAAAAAAAGATCCATCATGTTTTGTGCTTTAGTGAATTTGGGCCACTGGCTACTGGGATTTCTCCAACCCAATAACAATGTATTTTAATCATCCGCAGAGAATTCTATAATATTCTCATCTCAGCCTACCTTAGGCTGGCCATACATTATACAATTTTCTTTAGATTTTTGATTTAGATTTACCAAAAACCATATAATTATAAGGTCAAAAAAACTAACCACACTTTCAATTGTATCCAATTAGGCAGGTCCTTGCCCTACATAGTTGAAGGTAAATCTAAAGGAAATTGGACAGAAAATTGTATAGTGTATGGCCAACCTTAATTAACCCCTTCACGCCGGATCGTCCCGGCGTGAAGAGGAGTTCCTGCACCGGGAGGTGGGAGGGACGGGGTGCGGCTTAGTGTCATGTGGCCGCCGTGATGTCACGTCACGGCCGGTCACATGATCGGGAAAGGTCCCGATCGAAAGAGCGGACCGGGACCTTTCCGTGAGTACCGCCCATGTGTGCTGGGAGTGCGCAGGGCGCGCGCTCTCAGCACATATGTTTTTTGTTACATGAACGCAAATGTGCGGCCTCTTGGCGTCTAGGCCCAGATGCCAGGAGGCCGCACATTTTTGTGCGGCCGGCATGAAGGGGTTAAATATATCTTTTAGAAACTATTTTTCTTCATCAATAGCTTTCAAAAGCTCATGAGAATTTTAGATACAATCATAAATCTTAAATTTACTAATTAGTACACAATGGGATTGATTTACGAAGGCTGGCCATACACTATACAATTTTCTTACAATTTCCTTTAGATTTACCTTCAATTATGTAGTGCAAGGGCCTGCCTAACTGGATACAATTGAAAGTGTTTAGGTTTGACCTCATATTATAGGTTTTTTGGTAAATCTAAAGCAAAGTTCTCAAAAAATTGTGTAATGTATGGCCAGACTTAAACTGTAGATTGCAAAATCTGGTGCAGCTGTGCATGGGAGCCAATCAGCATCTAACTTTAGATTGTTCAATTAAGCTTTGACAATAAAACCTGGAAGCTGATTGGTTTCTATGCAGAGCTGCACCAGGTTTTGCAATCTCCAGTTTTAATAAATCAACCTCAATATATTGTAATGTTTAAAGCAGTGTTTCTCGACCTTTTTTCAAGAAAGGCATCCTTTAAAATAATGGACAGTCCAGAGGCACCCCATTCTAAAATGTAAAAACTATTCTAAAAGTTCTTAAAAAATAATTCTTACATAATGTGTCAACATCCACACATGTAGGACACCCAACATTAGAGATGATTTATTCTTCCAAATCAAATACACTTTTGCACACTGATACTGACTAGTATTCCAGGGTTTCTCTCCTCCCTCAGTTTTTCTTCATTAGGCTACTTTCACACTGAGGAGTTTTTGAAGCGTTTTTGCGTAAAAAAAAGCACCTGAAAAGCTCAAGAAAAACGCTTCCCTATGTATGTGAATGTATATCGATGTATGTTTTCACACTGCGGTGTTGCGCTTGCGGATCGGTGCAAAAACTCCTGCTTGCAGCATCTTTGGGGCATCTTTGGGGCAGCACAGTGGCTAAATGGTTAACACTTCCGCCTGGCAGAACTAGGGTTGTTGGTTCCAATCCCAAACACAGCCTGGAGTTTGCATGTTCTCCCTGTGCCTGCGTGGGTTTCCTCCAGGAACTCCGGCTTCCTCCCACGTTCCAAGGACATGCTGGTAGGTTAATTGGCTCCTGTCTAAATTGGCCCTAATATGTGTATGTATAAATGTGAGTTAGGGACCTTAGATTGTACACCCCTTGAGGGTTAGGGACTGATGTGAATGTAAAATATATATGTAAAAAGCGCTGTGTAAATTGTCGGCGCTGTATAAGTACCTGAAATAAATAAATAAATTGGAGGGGTGTAAATATACTTTTTGGCCTGCGTAGATGTAATAGGTGCCCTGAAGTTCTGACTTCTGTGCAATATTTATATGTAAAGCGCTGCGTGAATTGGCGGCGCTATACAAGTACCTGAAATAAATAAATAATAAGTAAATGTTTGGGTAGTTTAAAAAACGCCCCAAAAACACCCCTTCCCATTGAAATTAATGGAAACCGCCTGAAAAGCGCCTCTGAGAACCATTTTTGATGCAGTTTTTAAGTTACGTGTCCTTTAAAAATGCTCTGAAAGCGCGGCAAAACCGCCTATGCGTTTTTTCTGGGTTTTTGCGGTGGATCAGTGTGAAAGTAGCCTTACTCAGCTAATGTGTCCCCAGCGCTGACCGAGACGGGCAGGGGAGGGTCAAACAAGGATACTGTACAGACGACCAACATCCTCCTGATCAACTGATGATGCCATAAACCTGTGGCTTTGAGTAACTTACCCCCGGTTCATATCTATGCGGCCATGCAGGCCGCGTTTTGCAGGGCACGAGAGCCAATTCATTTGAATGGACTCCCGTGCCCGGGACACGCAGGGAAAGAAGTCCCTGCACTTCTTTGGAAAACGCAGCCCGCACGGGAACCTCGGTTCCCAGTACGGTAGCGTTTTCCAGTGCGGGTGGCATACCATTAGAACTAATGGCACCTGCCAGCGGGTCCCCAATTCTCTGTGTGGGTGGTGCGGCTGCACGGATTTTTGTGCAGATCCGCTTCGGTACCACCCTCACAGATGTGAAGCTAGGGTAAAAGGCAGGCTTGATCCACCTCTGGCTTGTATACAATTTTTGGGAATTTTTTAGGCATTTTGCCAAGGCACCCCTGAAGAAACCTCAAGGGTATCTGGGCACCCTGGTTAAAAAAGGCTGGTTTAAAGGCCAAGTTCACCTTTAAAAAAATGTACATATTTTTACAGGGAAAAAAATGTGCATTTATCATTTATTTTTTTTTTCCCACAGGAGCCTGCAAAGTATTGCACCCATGACCAGTGGATCATGGGTTCAATGCCAGGCTCCTGCAAACTCTTCCTCCAGCTCTCTGTCTGATATATGGACTTTTGATTGGAGAACTGGAGGAAGTGTCAATAGACTACGAAGATGCTGATCACCACACTTGTATTCCACTGAGAACTACAAGTCCATCTGCCACAGTGACAGATGGGACTTGTAGTTCATTCATCCATAGATCTCTCTGTGAAAGAATGACGCGGCTGTGTGGAGCGGAGCACTGCACAATTTCAAAAGTGACAGCGGCTGCTGTTAGAAAAGTTGCAGTTAGCACTTAATATCTGGGGAGTAACTTTCAAAGCTTATGAAAGAATATTCCAAACTTTCAAAAGCTTATTTTCCTTCTTATCAAGGCTACAACTGGACTGCAGATTTAAAATATGAAAGGCCTTGACTTGCTTAAAGCAGAACTCCGGGAAAAAAACTTTTTCCCATGCAGTGGGGCTGTGCCCGCACTGCATTGGTTAACCACTTGTTTTTGTCTAGTGTGAGGAGATATACTAACCTAATTCTCTGATCCTCCCAGCGCAAAACTGGTCTTGGCTGCTCCTGCTCCCCCCCAGCAGTCTAGCGGTCTTGTGTGGTGGACTATTCCTGATGTCATCATGCCCATAAACCGGCTCTGGAGGTGAGGACAGCAGGAACAGTCCACCACTGGATGTGGGGGAGTGCCGTTTTCTGGCAGATCAAAGGATTGGGTGAGTATAAGCTCTGCATTCACCCCTAGACAAAACAAGATGTTAACCCATGCAGTGTGGGCACAGCCCTACTGCATGGGACAAAAAAAAAACAATTTCCTGGAGTTCTGCTCAAAATTATTGATTGCAAGCTACAGCACAGATTGTCCAAATCACAACCCACCATTGGTGGTTTAGGCCTAATAAATAAGTCTACACCAAAAATAAAAGGCGGGGGACCAATTATGGAGCGTTCAGAAAGAAGGACACTCACTTGGCTGCTCGAATGTCAATGGTTCCCCTCAGCCGCTCCTCACTGTCATTCTCAAAATACATCAGCTTGGACTCTCTCAGGACAAACCAGCGCCTCTTCCAGTTGCGTCGCGACAGCGTGGACATGCCGCCTCCTTTCTTATACAGCCATCCAGATTTCAGAGCTTCTTGTTTGGTACGGAACCACATGAAGGTCTCATCCTTCAGAACGCACCATCGCCGTCTCCACATGTTCATTAAGCCTCCAGCTGCAAGGACCAACAGTATCTTTAGCTTGGGAAAGGGTCTGTAAAGGGTTAGCCTAGCCTAAAATGATATTTCTGGTTTGGGATGATGCAGCATATGGAATCACCACCAGCTTTGAAAACTCTTGGGGGATGCCAGTAGTAAACCATCTACACCCAGTTTAGTCCCAAGGTCTTCCCACCTGGAATAGCCATTATGATAGAGTCTTGCAATTATTAAACGACCTCAGAGTTTTTTAAGCCTAGCCAACAGTGATATCTTAGCCTTAGTCTACATGGTGGTATCATCTGCTGGCATCTTCTAAACTTTGGACACTCAAAGATTTCCTCAACCTAGTTCTGGCTCTGTTTTTGCCAACATTAAAATCTCAAGAATCCTGCTAAAACTGGGTCAATATTGGATGTTTCCACTGCTTATATTTAATTCTTCAGAATAGAATGTTAACCAAGCCTTCAAAAGGGAGAATGCAAACCCATTATAATTGCTGCAGCAATCAAACCTGGGAACGCAGAACTCGTCACCATACTCTCTGAGTACAAGAAAACTTTGCAAAATGAAAAGTTTTGTGTGGGCTGACCCTTTATAAGGTGACCATCAATTTTCCAAAACTGGGCATGACTTGAGCAACTCACTGGCTTAAAAGAGAAGTATGGCCAAAGCTCTTTTGGCCATTCTTCTCATGTGGGTCACAGGAGTGCACTTACCTGTGACCCAGAATCAGCCGACAGTGGGCTCCAAACTCTGGAGGGATCCTAAAAATAATGTTGGGATCCAACCAGATGCCGTACAGGCAGGCAGCTGACTCAGCTTCTCTGCGCACCGCTGAAAGCCTGAGCCAGCTGCTCCCGCCCCCTTCCATAGCCTGGCACTCCAAAGACAGCTTAAGGGGCAGATCCAAAGTCGGTGACTGACAATCACCACTCTCTGCTCCGGGAAGACCAAGAACTGAGCGATCAGCAATCATGTGATCGTTCAGTTCTCAAGCTTAGAGCCAGTGAAGGACAACTTGCAGCATCGCACCAATGCTGCAGCAGGTAGGTAGGCATGTAGGTTTGTTTTTTTAGATTCCCACACTTCTCCTTTAAGACTTCTTATGATCTTCTTGCAGAAGCAGCAACCAGAGTTGCTCTACAGAACAAATAATCAGAAGTGCATTTTTTTTCTCTAAAACTAGAAAAACTTGATAGCAGGAAATTAGCTGGTTAATAGAACGAACATATTACTTCATTCCAGTTCTTAGAAAGTTCAGGAAGTTCTGACTACAGTAGGGAAGCTCTTGGTTCCCATTTTTTTTTTTTTTTTTTTTTTAAGTCCATGATCCTTTATCTAAGCCCATATCTTGGGAATGTATCCTCTAGATAACACAGGTATGACTGGCCTCATAGTGGATTCTATGTGGAAACATACTTCCAGAAGTCCTGGTCAGAACAGCACTTTAGCTGTTGAAGACCAACCAGGGGTTTTCTCTTTTCTATGTACACTTATTCAAAACATAACAAAACCATCAATCTTTGTTACATAATTAAAAAAACAAAAAAACAAAACAGGCAATCTAACTTTAGAGAAAGCCCTACCTTTCATATACAGGTAACTGTGAAAATATGGTGGTCCTCCTCCATTGAAGAGAGTGACCCGGGAAGTCATCAGTTCCTCATCGGTGTCTATGTGGCTGTCCACTTCCTCATCACTGTCCAGAAACTGCAGAGAAAATGTAATGGTATGTGAAACCTGATCAATCAACTGAACAAGATGAAACCTCAACAAATCCAAGGACTGCCTTATGTAGAACTCATTTTCAGCACTTTTCTGCACCACTTTGGAAAAGCGCAGTAAAACACGAACATATAATATTCACGTCTGAGTGACAGTGGAGACAGGTGACAACTGCCATCAAGTGCACTAGAGCTGATCCCCCTGCATTAGAAGCCCACAAATATTTTATTCCCACTCTTAGAAAAAAATCATAATGCATTTTTATCAACTTTGTTTTATTATATGTTCATAAATGGATCCTTTATATCTTCTTTTAACTATTTGTATAAAATCTTCATTTCACAAATACCCACTGAATAGAAAAAATGTCCATGACAATCTGTTTCCAAAGCTTGTTTTGCTTCCTCTCTGTAGAAATGGCTCTCTCTTAGGAGAGAGGAAGGAGTGTGTAGCTCCTCTGAGAGTCAGTCTGCAGTCTGTGTAGTCTGATCTCTCCTGCTTTTCAGATCTGTTTCAAAACACAGCCATAGAAGTACAAGAGAACTGATGCTTTTGAAAGTATGCACCTGCTGGCTTGGTAGCAAGTAAAAGTAAATTCAGTAAATATGAAAATAAAGCTTGTTTATGATATATATATGCCATTGAAATGACTTAAAGGAGAAGTAGGACCAAAGCGCTTTTGTTCCTACTGCTCCTGTAGGTCACAGGAATGCACTTCATTCTGCACTCCTGTTACCCAGGGATGTATTTACCACAAGGCAAACAAGGCATTTGCCTAGGGTGGCATTTTTCAGGGGGGCAGCACTGCCCTTCCTAAAAGGGACGGAAGAAGGGACACGGGGACCTGGTGGGTACCGAGGGAGGTTGTGGGTTTCATGACGGTGTATGCAGAGCACGACTCTTGTTCCTGGGGATGTCCAGAGCTGTGAAGATGAGCGTCTTTCTCTCTCTCGCCATGGGGGATGGTGACTGGTGTGTGGGGGGCAGTGGTAGTGGAAGGCTCTCTCGGGTGGGAGTCAGGGGCGTTGTTGGTCAATGTCAGGCACTCTCTGCTGGGGGGGGGCGCTGGTTTTTGTGTTGCCTAGGGTAGCACAAGACCTAAATACACCACTGCTGTTACCCATATTCAGCCAACAGTGGGTTAAAGTCTGTTGTCGGCTGACGTCACACAACTGGTCTAGACTCTGGAGAGATCCCGACTTTAATGTCGGGATCCACCCAGATGCCTGGATTAGCAGCTAGCTCATCCTCTCAGCGAGCCACAGAGACCCTGAGCCAGCCACTCCCGGCCCCTCCACAGCCCTGTGCTCCAGTAAGCGCTGGAGAGGCAGAGCGGAGAGCCGAAGACTAACTGTCACCGCCTCTCTGCTCACTGAAGAGTCCACTGCTCGCTCAGTTCTCAGTGTTGAGACAGTGGTGGACAGATGCTGCATCAGACTGATGCTGCATTCACCGAGTTGAATATGAATCTTTTTTCAAAACTTCTCTTTTAACAAGGAGTAAGATGTTTTGGTAATGTTGATAGATGAATAGGTCATCTTGCCTGCTCTCAGTTTGTGAATTGCTATATATGCCCCGTAGTTGGGAACTCAGTTCTAAATTAGGGATTTTACTTTCAGAGGTACCTTGATGCCTGGGTAGCTTTACATATAATTGTAAATATATGCAACAAACTCCCCGATTTTCATGCTGAGTGTTAAAACAGTTTTGTTGGGATTTTTTCTGGCTAGGTTGAAAAGTGTGCACGGGACCTTTTACTTCTTTAGAGGATGAAAACCAAAGTGCACCTTGTAAAGAAGAGAGTTCACACTTGGCTCTCCCACAACCGATCTGTGGTGTATTTCAGAGATACTACTGCCTAGTCCAGTATTTGACATACTTGCAGGATGTGCCCCTGTTGCCCGCAATAGTTCCAGCCAACTGCCCCTGTGTCTTGTAGTGATGTAGGAGCTGGAGGGAGAAACCACTGACTGCAGCAGGGGACCAGGCTGCAAATTCTTCAGTCAAGCTTTGCTAAAATGATTAGGAAAAGAAAATATGAACTCTTATTTGCAGGGGGGCATGATGGTTCTCATTTGTTTTCTAGGGACAGTCAAGAATATTTTGCATTATCATAAATATTATATCTTAAAAAAAGATTCTTTATACTCACAAAACCCAAAGAAAATCTCAGAACTTGTCTTAAAAAGTTTTATCTCGTTTTAATCTAAAAAGATGTTTGTTTGGGTGGGGGCTACCTTATTTTGATACTCACTGAATCCAGACTTCCACACTGAGATCCATAGCTGTTGGGCTTGGAAATTCGAGGTATCTCTTCATCAGTTAGGTGGCCATCACTTGAGTTCCTAGCATCAGCTGAACCTGGTGCGCCTTCATCAAACTCTTCGTGATCATAATCAGATTCCACGTCAGGTGGGTAGCTGTAAATAGGTTCTTGAGCTTCTTCACTGTTGCTCTGATTATCAGATAAACACTGATAAATGCTCTCTGACCTATCTGAGATGGCAGTATAAGCATCTGTAGAAGACACTGGCTCCAATGGAGAAATCTGGGAATCTGTGGAGTTGCCAATGTGGTCTTCAGGGATTTTCATGTAGGTACCATCTTCAGAGAAGCTATCACTGGTTCTTGGGATGTCGTCTTCCAACAGCATAGGTGGCGGAGGTGGCAAAAATTCATCATCTGCATGGAATCCTTCATCCACTTCTTCCTCAGCCAGAGGTGCAACCAAGCTCTCTTCCACGTGTAGAGTTCCATCAACTCCATTCTCCAGGCTGTTGGCACTCTCATCCAAATTACCGAAATCCAAGAGCTCTAGGAACTCTTGTGCTACTCTAGAGGCTTCCTTCTCCAACTTGTGGATCTTCTTCTCGCTTTCGTGTTACCTCATTCCGGGTATCAATGCACGAAATGGAGACACCATCCACTTTCTGTTGTTGGTGGAGTTTTTCAATCTCTTTCTCCAATCTTAGTATCTCATCCATCTGTCTTCTCTCCTCTTCCTGCAGTAAAATGTTCTCCAGGTTCCGAGCCCTCTCCTGCTCTTCCTAAAAGGTAAAACCACCTCCATTTGTAAATAGATTTCAACATTTGATTAGCACCTTAAAAAAAAGGTTTGAACTATTTTATACTGCTAAAAGGTCATTTCCAAAAGTTGACATGAGCTGCAGCTTTTAGCATTTAACACTTGATGTATCTGACCTCTATTAAAGGGTGCAGAAGTATCAGTGTACTTCAGCATGACTTACCTGTGCAGCGCGGAGCTCAGCCTCCAGCCTCTCTTGCTCCCTAGGAAAAAAACAACAACCAATAAGCACATAGTCAACATGTATGCAAGGCTATACTTCATATCAGAACTCACACTCATTCTGCTCAAAAGCTGTGAAAGCAATTTCTCATCTGACTAGTGGGATCCTGCACAGCATACCCTCTTTCTTTCAAGCAAGGTAATGCTACAGAAAAGGACCCTCATTGTACAGTAATTATAAGGCGATCCAAGACAAAATGCAAGTGTGCTAAAGTCAGAAATGCAATTTAAAGTGTACCTGTAGTGGTGGCAAACACAACCATTTTGATCCAGTAAGGTGCTTGCAGGTAAAATTTTATTTTGGAGCGCCCCATGAGCCACAAATCCTGGAACATTCCGGTATGAAAATTCCAATCTGACCTAGGGTGTACTGGCCCACACCTGGACCATAGCATTATTAGAGGAAGGCTAATCATGGGCTTCTGAAATTAGGCTGAGATTTGCATAACACAGTGCCCTGGGTTTTGGGATTACAGGGGCATTCAAGAAAAAACTACAGCTACCTGTAGGCACCTAAGTGCCTTCTACTGAATCAAAGTTAAAGAAGTTAAAAACAGAAGAAAAAAGCTTCAGCTTTGATTAAATACCTAATTTTAGATCCACTAAATTTTTAGATGTTACTTTGGTTCTATATGCAATGCAGGCAAAGCATGGCTGGTGGGAGAGGCCAGCAGGGTGCTGTACATAGCTTCCTACAAACATTACTGCCTTAAGACTCCTTTAAGAGTCCTGAGCTCTAACACAAGCAGTGGGCTGAATTTCAGGAGTTGTGCAACATCAAAATGCGTTGATGGGTGGATGTCAGTCTGGAGCAGGGGAGGACTGACCATTTGCTTACAAAGTTTGGAAACCTCTGGAATAGGATCATAACTTTTTTTTTTTTGGTTGAACTGGATGGACTTTTGTCTTTTTTCAGCCACGCTAACTATGCATGCAGGGGCGGACTGACCATTTGGAAACTCAGGCACTGCCCGAGGGCCTGGGGTCAGTAGGGGGCCCCATGAGATGTCCCTGATACCTTTTTCATAGGCTTTTTTGAGTTTGGGCAAGGACACAAGGGCCCCATGATCCCCTATTGCCCGGGGGCCCCATGAGTTGTCAGTCCACCCCTGGTCTGGAGGAGTAGGTGTTCCAGGGTAATGGCATGCAGACCACCCTAGGTAACACCTACATGTGATGCTGAGCCTTCATGGTTAAAAGAACTGAAATCCAATGACTGAAAAGGGTGGGCCTGGGAAAGTGAGGCTGGGAAGGAAAGTGAGACGTCCTCCAGCCAGGAAATGAGGCGCGCTCTGACTTGCTGCAGATTCTAATGCACATTGTGAGAAGCTCACAGTGTGCAGTGAACTCAGAGTAAGCAATTTCAGTCCAGGAGAGCAGCCGGTACAACTGGAGGTATA